TCTAGTTGATGAGTAACATTGCCTATCTGAGTTTCTAGCTGGCTACAGATATTTGTTAGCTAATCACAGTCTTCTGACACCCTAGCCTCTAAGGCCTCAGACATGGAGGATCTCTCTGTGTTTATCTTATCATAAATACACTGCATCTCATCTTGGGTAACAGACAGCTCTGTCTTTAGTGTATTGGACACAGAGCCAAGCTTATCATCCAATTTCTGTTCCACTTGCTCCACAATTGACCTAATCTGACCTAATCTGTTCTCCAATAGCTCATTGTTTAAAGCTGTTATTTCCTGCAAACAGGTGGTGAGGTTATCTCTGTCCTTGTTCCTGAGCCCTCTGCCTAGTAAAGTTATTTGTACCAGCAAGCTAACTGCCATTACGGCATATAGGCCAGTAATTGGCAAATTAGCATCCTCCTCAAACATTGAATTCACATAAGCAAAATATTACCAATTTTAGCAAATGATAAATATTCTGCCATAATTTTACCTGATTTCTACTCCAGATGCAATAACTATCTTTGACCAGCAGGTGGCACAGCCATTCAGCTACTCGGTGCAGTGTTTGGCAGAGGTCAGTGGCAGCAGTGGAGAGAGGTCACAAAGCGGATGTGCTTATCTTAGAGAGTATATGTCCTTGAGGCTCCAACCACTAAAAAAGATGTGGCTTTACTGCAGCAGCAGCCAGGGGAAGCTGCTGCTGAACACTGAGGCCTACTCAACTCTAGGTAGCTAGAAACTGTCTCCAAGCTGGGCAGATGGTTCTGAGCAGCTCAGCTGCAGCAGGAATGCGCTTGTGTGGCGCAGCAGGTTGGCTGGGAGCCGGGAGCACCTATGGAGAGAGGGAGCTTTCCTGGCCTAGGCCACCGACCCGGTTGAACCCACAGCCTGTCCCAAATGGGGTGCAGGTTTCCAATATCCCACTCCTGACAACCAGATAAATTGAGAAATTACCAATACGTAGCCAAGTAGAAATATAAGGGTATTTAATAGGGAAAAGCCTTACTTACAGAGCAACCTAGCCAGCCAGCGCGGCAGCAGTCTGTACAGCAATTGGAAAAGCAAAAGCGAAAGCAAAACCCAGCCACCTGAAACTCCCACTCTACGTCACCCTGACTACACCCTCGCAGGTGTGGTTAGGCACACCCCTAAGCAGGCAGCTTCCCCTACACAGCCCCAATTAAATGTTTTGCTTTATAAGAGCTGCTATGGTCATGGTGTCTCTTCACAGCAATAAAAACCCTAAGATAGTTATAGACCCACAAACTAAGTAACTTCTCAAGGTTAGGGACATAGTTGTTAGGAAAGTGAAATAAAGGAGACTCCAAGCTGCTTCTGGGGTGACTCATACACACTATGTTACAGGGCTTGATAGACACTACTGTCTATCAAGTACTACTTTAAAGAAACCCTTCACCCTAGTCACAGTAATGGATGTCTACTTCCGTTAATTCTGGTTTCAGGAAAAATAATATTGAGTCACCAATTACATGGCGTTTTGTGTTCTCCCTCCCTCCCTCCCTCCCTCCCTCTCTCCCTCCCTTCCTCCTTTCCTTTCTAAGCCCAGGGTTCTATCATTTGTTCCAGGAAGACCCTCTCAAGCACTGACTGAGATTTAAAGTACATTTTCTGTAAGCAGGTGGGAGTGCCCAGTTTCAGAACTAAAATGTGAGTGAGTATGAGTGTTACAGCTCTGGAGCTGCAAAGCAGTCCTGACTCATCAGGAAGCCACGCTAACCAGGACAGCTCTGGAAGCTAGAGCTGCAATACGACAGCTCAGCCCTGGAGAGGTGTCCTGACTTATCGGGAAGTCAGGCTACCTGAGGCTGGGGTGTGGTGGGGGATGGTCTTCCCTTAGGATATAGCCCTAGGAGGGCTGTTACAGCTGAGCTCTGTTCCCCTGAAAATGTCCTAGCAGAGCTAATGGCTACTTCTTTGGCTACAGTCTGCTAATGGGGAAGCCCTTGCATAAATGTAGCAATCTCCTCTGGCTCAGGTGAAAAGTTGTTACTTTTCTGCTACAAACTTGCTCAGCCCCCTTAGGGAGGCTCTCAGCAAGTTCTGCCCCAGCGAATGATCTTCACCCAAGACTCTTTTGAGAAAGGGATTTATTTGGGAAGGAGGATCCAGGAAAATGGCTGCTTCTGTCAGGGTGGGAAAGGACAGCCAAAAATTGAACAGGCAGACGGGATTATATAGGGCTTCTTGGGGGTGGAGTTTTCCCAGGGAGAGGTCTTTCTGCCCAGGGATTGGTTAGTTTTCCTGTTCAGGAATTGGTTGTTTTTGTGTTTCAGTTGGTCAGGGGAAGAGTTGGTTCTGGTGTCAATTGGTCAAAGATGGTTTCTTTGGCTGGCCCTTTTACCCTACACTTTCTTCTTTGAACTTTATTAGCATGTGATCTGTACCTGTCTAATAATACTCACTACTTATATGATTTATCTTTTATTTATACAAATTTTCTTCTGGGTCAGAATCCATGACTAGTTCATACATGTGGCTCTCAGAGGATCCACTACAGTACCTTACAAATCATAGCTGGGTCAAAAATATTCATCGAATGAATTACTGAATAAATATACAATATAGGAAGACTATAATTAAAGCCTTAGATCTCTCCCAGCTCTTTCCAGTCTTTCCTCATAGGGTTAGTTTTGTAAATCCTTAATCATGTCAGTGGCTCTCCAAGTCCTCATGCATTAGCTACAGCTATAGAGGATTAGAGTTCCCTTTAGAGTCTCAGCTACTGCCCTACAATTCACTATTTAGTAAATTACAGACATTTGGGTCTTTCCCCCCCATGAGGTAGCATTCACTGCTTGGTCTCAAAACATTTAAAGCCCCTGGCACTGAAAGAGCCCCAAATTTTTCTAAAGCAAGGGACAAAGAGGGCATATGCATAAGCACTGAGAAGAAAACTTCAACTCTGCCCACAAATCCCAATGCCATCATGATGGTCGCACCTTTCTGTGTGTCGGGGGCAGAGAGTAGTTAGACTAACATGACCAACGTCTTTAAAATATAATGTTACATATGAGATAATGTGGGAAGCTACAGAATGTATGATTCCCCTTCAAAGGAAATGAAGATCAAGGTGCATATCTTTTATTGCTGCACACTTAATGACAGAAGAACAGAGTTGGTTAATATGAAGCAAGTCCATGTTCCATAGTCTTCTGTAGGAAGACTTCTAGAGCCTTGCACCTTTTCCTTTGGTAGGATCTTTCAGCATCATTTAAGTTTGGTGGACGATTCTAGCAAGTCCTTTGCTTCATTTATTTTGGATGCTAAGTAAGGAGATCCACCTGGGAAGACAAAGAGAAATGAATGGTTAAAGCTTATGTCATTACTGTAATATTAAAACTTCAATACAGGAAAAACAATAATGACTATAATTCAGATATTTTCCCACACATTTGTCTTCTGACAAACTATTTTATATGCTTGCCAGAAATCAAAATAGCACAAATTAAACTTATTTATTGAAGCATTATAGGTACCCATCAGTCAAAATACAATTTCTGAGAAAAATATGAGTTATATATTGTGGGGTTGGTGAAGATCTTTTCCCATTCTGTAGGTTGTCCTTTTGTCTTATTGATGGTATCCTTTGCCTTACAGAAGCTTTTCAGTTTCTGGGGTCCCATTTATTATTGTTCGTCTCAGTGTCTGTGCTGCTGATGTTCTATTTAGGAAGTGGTCTCCTGTGCCAATGAGTTCAAGACTACTTTCCCCTTTCTCTTCTATTAGGTTCAGTGTAACTGGATTTATGTTGAGGTCTTTGATCCACTTGGACTTGAGTTTTGTGTAGGGCTATGGATATGGATCTATTTGCATTCTTCTACATGAGTTATAATCAGCTGAAAAACACTGCTTATAGTTACCATATAGACATTTGGCCTGAATATTTTCTAAAGTTAAGTATATGACTAAGTAAACAAAATAAGTGTTTCTTTACAGTTACATCTTAAAAGCAATAAATATTACGTTTAAGAAGGAGGTAAATCCATCTAAGAGGTTCTTTTCATGTCATCCTAATTTCACAAAATAAACACTTGTTTATAAGGCAAATATACAATATGTAATGCAAGTAAGAATCATACTTGTTAAGATCAATGAACCAACCCTAATAACTGAGTGATAATAACAATAATGCTAAGAGAAATTCTCCCTGTCCTCTGAAATGATTCTATTTCACCATTTACAATGTAGCCTTGGATTTACAATACTCTCAAATAAAATTAAGTCAGTTCTCTTTTAGAGTTCTTTGAGATGTATTATTTGTAATGCAAACAGCAAATTGAGGTGAATTTCAAATACAGAATCATTATAATCATAAACAATGCTTATTTGACATACAAAAACATCCCCAAAGTGTCATATTAAAGTTACACATCACAATCCTAATTTCTATTCTAGAACACTGCCATTGCTTAATGCTTGAGCTAACAATCATATTACAGTTTCTAGTCTCTGTTTTCATTTTGTATTTTTCTCTTAAGTATAAACTACTATTGGCTGTTGAAAATATTGTGATGCCCCACAACTTTTAAGAAACCGAAAGTATTTAGACAGTCTAAATATAAACTGTCCTGGCTATTGCTACCACCCCACCACTTTATGAAGGAACAAACAAGCAGAGAAAATACATCAACAAACATGGGGCTGCAGTAGAGATGGAGAAAGCTATATTTAGTTTTTGCCTTTGAGGAAACCACTGACATTTTCATATCAAGATATGAAACATGGTAAACATTTAAGGAATATATCACACAGTGACCTTGAATACACAATGAGAATTACAAAGACAGTTCATAACCCCATAAGTAGATTTCATGATTATCTCTAAAAATGACCTTGGAGCATGCAAGGCTCATCATTGTCACTGCTTAAATGTTGGAGTTAGCAAGGAGTTGCCAGATATTTTGTGTGCTCTAAAAGAATATTAACTAATTTTAGCTATAACATTTAATTGATCAATATACATTCTAAATATTTAAATTATAAGCCACAATAGACTCATAACAGAAAACAAATAAACAAACAAATGAGAGCCCACAAGAGTAAAAAATTTATTAAAATTTTACTCATATTAAATAAGAATAAAAATCTTGTATTTATTTGTGGATTATCTGATATGGTTTATTTATTAAAAAGCATCAGCCCAGTAGATATTGGTTAAAGGAGACTTTGTTTTCAAATAATATAAAGATCCACATCGATAAAAATAAAGTAAGTATTGCTATACTAATACTCACTGCTTTAAGGCAAAATGTAGTAATAGAGATTTCATGGTGTTTTAAGTTAGTCTATGGTATAAAACAATGAGATTAACATGTGGTATACACCTAATATCTTATGATCAGAATACATAAAACACTGTCATAACCAAAGGGAAAAACACACTCCATAATCACTAGAAGATTTAGCACCCGTCTCAATAATTTATTGAACAACTAGAGAAAGAGCAAGAGCATCAAAACAAATAACATGACGAGCAAATGTGATTGAACTGATGTTCATAAAACAAACATTCCACCCAACAAAAGGATAATATAACCTTAAAGTTGCAAACTTAGAACACCGAGTCTCAGCAAACTTAACAACAACATCCAAATCACCAAGTGTGTTCTATTGGCAGTGACCAGCTGAGCTTAGAAACCAAGTGTTTTGAAAATATAGATCATTTCTATAGACTTTAATTCTCTAGTAAGTTCATTTGTTGTATTTTCCAACAGTCCCCAGGGCTAGAGAGACAGCTCAGAGGTGAAGAGTACTTGGTGTTCCCAAGCCTCCATCAGAAAGCTCCAGCTCCAAGAGATCTACTCCTCTGGCCGCTCTGCTGGCTGCTGCACTCACGTGCACACACCACATGCAGACTCAAACACCTACACATAATTTAAAAACTGAAACAGTTTTTTAAAGTCACCAGAGATTAAGGGAACAATGCAACTCATATACAAGATAGTGCATGAACAGTGCTGACATACTATTCTACAACTGTAGAATTATGATAGACACCAGCAATATAGCTTTGTTTAGAAACAATTCACATGTAGGATATCACAAAATAAGTTATCATTCAAGAGAAAGATTCAATAAATTAGTTTCTTTTATTGTTTTGGTTTCAAGACAGGGTTTCTCTGTGTAATAGTTCTAGCTGTTCTGGAACCTGCCTTGTAGACCAAGCTTGGCCTCAAACTCACAGGGATCCATTTGCCTTTGCCTCCCAAATGCAGGGGTTAAATGCATATACACCACCACGATTAGTGGTCAGTTTCTTTTAAAACACCAAGGGAGAAAAGAAAATCTAAGGACCCTTAGATAGCTCAGCAGGCAAAGGCCCGTGCTGAGCTCTACCCTCAGGACCCAGATGCTACAAAGAGGGAACTCAGATCACTCTAGTCTGAACCAACTACCACAAGTAAGAAGCCCCAAACATTGGCCAACAGTTTTATAATTAATATAATGTCTTGTGTGTTATTTGGGGGCTCTGAGGTGGCTTCGGAACTGGGTGGGAATCCCATAATACTCAAGCTGTCCTCTGACCTCCATACATGTGCCATGTCACACATAGGCACACACTCCTCTCTCTCACCCACAACATACACATGTGATAATAACTTAAAAAAAACCAACAATCACTTTCATGCTAAAGTAAAAATTTTAAATGAAAAATAAATTCTAGGAAAAATATGGCCTATCATAACCAATAAAAGAAAATCTGAAAAATCAAAAGCATCCAATCTACTTAAAGGACTGAATCAGTAATTAAATGCCTAGAAAAAATTTTATCAACAAATCCAAGTCCTGACAAAAACCAATCAACCAGCCTAAACAAAAAGATAAATAGGAGAGCATACTCATCTTTTTATATGCCAGCGTTACCCTGATAACAAACTCTGATGGAGGTATCACAAGAAAGGAAACCATAAACCAGCACCTCTCACTAGTGTAGATTCAAAAACACTATGCTTACTTATCCAGTCAGACCAAATATCACGAATGGCTTTAACGAACATTCAAAGGTTAAGCAATGTAAGTCAATGCATTAACAGATGAAGAAAAACATATGATCCTCTCAGTAGACACAGACAACTAAAAACACCTTTGTAATAAACTTTTAATGAACTAAGAATAGTTGGGAGAGAGCTTTGTGTGCTAAAGCCATCAGAAATGCAATCAACGGCATTGTCAGTCGTCGTGTTAGGCTGGAAATTCTGGGTGTGAAGTGAGGGCAGGAAAAAGCCAGTAGCCATCACTGTTGTTGTCTAATGCCACCTGGGAGTGTCTTGCCATCGTAGTTTCCTTCCCCACATCTCCCTAACACAAAAGGAATAAAGACCAGAAAGAAATGGTCACTGTTTATAAATGATACCAACTATTCCACAGAAAATCCAAAATGATCTAAAGACAATCACTGATTTTCATAAATGAATCCACAGGTTGATGGATAGAACATAAAAATATTTGAAAACCAGCATTTATGCATTCTAATAAAAAATAACTACACAAGAATTTCAGAAACACAACAATTTATAGCAGAAAACTGTAATACCAGGATGGAGAGATGGCTCATCAGCTATATGAGCACTTGTTGCTTTTCCAGAGGATACAAATTCAGTTCCCAGCATCTACACCAGGCAGTTCACAGCCCTCTGTAACTAGAGCTTCAGGGATCAGATGCCCGGGCCTCTGTGGACACTTTTACTCATGTGCACATACCCACACGCAGACGCAAACACCTAGACATAATTAAAAAAATAAAAAAATCAATCTTTGCCTAAGGGTTTGGGCTACAGCTAAGTGGGAAGGACCAGGTTAGCATGTGCAAAGTCCCAGGATCAATTCCAACACCTTTAAAACAAACAAAGCAGAACCAATATCTAGCAATAAACATGATAAACCACAGATATAACAAACACAAAGACTGTAAAAACTGAAACAAACATTCCTATCAAGCCAATGATAACTAAGCTATAATCTATTGATCCCCAGAAAGTAGGTGTAGAGTAAGTGTCTGGAGCAGTGGTTCTCAACCTGTGTGTCGTGACCACTTTGTGGAGGTGTGGGTTGAATGACTTTCATCCGGGTCACCTAAGACCATTGGAAAACACATATATTTACATTATGATTTGTAACAGTAGCAAAACTACAGTTATGAAGTAGCAATGAAAGTAATTTTATGGTTGTCAGGTCACCACAACAAGAGGAACTGTAAAAAGGGTTGCAGTATTAGGAAGCACTGAAAACAACTGGCCTAGAAGGAGCACATAGATCTTGTTAGGAAAGGAAAAGTGAATAG